TATAAACAGTGCTTGAATCACATTTTTGAACGTTATCGTCCTCGGAATGTGCCCCATTTCGATCATTTGCTCCAAATGGTACACAACCTCCCCCATTCTCCTTCCCATACAAAGTGTTCGAATCACAAAGCTATAACTAGTATGGTCAATCACAGTAACTCGTTCCCGCATTTTCTCGAACACTTTGTTGGTATCTTGAACCAAATCTTTCTCTTCCCATGACTTCATGCTTAAACCTCTAAGCAAACTGCTTATCATCTTCCCTTCCACTTCAAAACCGATTCCTACCATTTCCTTATAAACTTTCAGTGATGCCCTTACTTTTCCCTATTTCAAAAGCCCATTCAGAAAGGTGGTGTAACTAATGTTATCAGAAAGGTGGTGTAACTAATGCTATCAGGCAAGCAATTTTTATCCTTCATGAACTTTAACACTCTAAAACCATGGCGTGGCCTTCCTTCTTTAGTGTAGCCGATGAAAATAGTGTTGAAAGTGATCGCATTTGGTTCTAACACCAAAATCAGAGCCCGGTTGAGCAATTCCATTGCCTCGTCTGATCTACCCACTTTACAAAAACATCCATAACTGCAGTGTTAGAAATCAAACTCAACATCAAAAGATTTTGAAAATTCAAAGGCGGTAGAATGGTGACATGAAACGTGGCAGCAACAAAGAATTAACAAATATAGAAATAAGCAAAGTTGAAAAGTTTTTGGTAGTATGCACATGCTTAATTATTAAGAATATTAAGTTGGTCCCATAAAAAGGATAAGTTTGCAGCAAATATGTTCACCACGTCAAGTAAGTATTAAGGCTTCAATAATGGAGAGAAATTGAGAAGCATCCAGAGCAAAAGTAGGCGGTTTATTAACTATTATAAATACATGAAATGTATGAGATGTAATAAAAGAGAAGGAATATGAGGAAAAACTTAGAAAAGCAATGACGAAAAATAGCTTAGAAAAGCTATTAGAGAAAGAGGGTGAAGTTTAGCAAAGCTATAAGATGTTTGTAAACTAGTCGCAGCTAGTGTTGTAGTGTTGTAGTTTTATTATATTGGGCAAAGTTGTTGTAACGTATTTTGTCTCTTATAAATAATAATTCGAGTGTTATAAATTCTGAGTGCCCATCTATGCTTCCAACAAGTGGTATCTAGAGCATGGTTCGAGTTTAACGTAGTGGAAAAAATGGCCAACATGATTCAACCTTAAATCCCGAGATTGACAAAAACGAATTGTGACAATTGAAGCATTCAAATGAAGGCATTACTAGGCTCCCAAGATTGTTGGGATATCATCAAGGATGGTTACATCGAGCCTGAAAATGCAGCAGCAGAAGCAGCCTTAGCCAATGAAGAAAAGAAGGTATTGAAGAAATCCTGGAAAAAAAGATAAAAGAGCATTGTTCTTTATTTTTCAAGGAGTAGACGAATCTACCTTTGAAAATGTGGGAGATTTTGCAAAAATCTCTACAAGGTGTAGAAAAAACAAAGAAGAATACATAGCCGCAACAACGTGTACTTGCCAAGAAATGAAGAATCAATTGGAGATGACAAGTGGATAAAAGATTGGAATGGAAAGTCAAGTTTGAGGGGCAGTGTTAGAAATCAAACTCAACTTGGCATCAAAAGACTTTGAAAAGTCAAAGGTGGTAGAATGGTGACATGAAATGTGGCAGCAACAAAGAATTAACAAATATAGAAATAAACAAAGTTGAAAAGTTTTTGGCAGTATGCACATGCTTAATTATTAAGCATATTAAGGTGGTCCCATAAAAAGGGATAAGTTTGCAGCAAATATGTTCACCATGTCAAGCAAGTATTAAGGCTCCAATAGTAGAGAGAAATTGAGAAGCATCCAGAGCAAAAGTAGGCGGTTTATTAACCATTATAAATACATGAAATGTATGAGATGTAATAAAAGAGAAGGAATATGAGGAAAAGCTTAGAAAAACAAGGACGAAAAATAGCTTAGAAAAGCTATTAGAGAAAGAGGGTGAAGCTTAGTAAAGCTATAAGGTGTTTGTAAACTAGTCGCAGCTAGTGTTATAGTGTTGTAGTTTTATCATATTGGGCAAAGTCGTTGTAACGTATTTTATCTCGCATCAATAATAATTCGAGTGTTATAAATTCTGAGTGCCCATCTACGCTTCCAACAAGTGGTATCTAGAGCTTGGTTCGAGTTTAACGTGGTGGAGAAAATGACCAACATGATTCAACCTCAAATCCCAAGATTGACAAAAACTAATTATGACAATCGGAGCATTCAAATGAATGTGTTACTAGGCTCCCAAGATTGTTGGGATATCGTCAAGGATGGTTACACCGAGCCTGAAAATGCAGCAGTAGAAGCAGCCTTGGCCAATGAAGAAAAGAAGGTATTGAAGAAATCCCGAAAAAAGATAAAATAGCATTGTTCTTTATTTTTCAAGGAGTAGACGAATCTACCTTTGAAAAAATTTCTGATGTGAAGACCGCAAAACAACTGTGGGAGATTTTGCAAAAATCTCTACAAGGTGTAGAAAAAACAAAGAAGAATACATAACCGTAGCAGCGTGTACTTGCCAAGAAATGAAGAATCAATTGGAGATGACAAGTGGAGAAAAGATTAGAATGGAAGTTTGAGGGGGAGTGATAGAAATCAAACTCAACTTGGCATCAAAAGACTTTGAAAAGTCAAAGGCGGTAGAATGATGACATGAAACGTGGCAACAATAAAGAATTAACAAATATAGAAATAAACAAAGTTGAAAAGTTTTTGGCAGTATGCACATGCTTAATTATTAAGCATATTAAGGTGGTCCTATAAAAAGGGATAACTTTGCAGTAAATATGTTCACCACGTCAAGCAAGTATTAAGGCTCCAATAATGGAGAGAAATTGAGAAGCATCCAGAGAAAAAGTAGGTGGTTTATTAACTATTATAAATACATGAAATGTATGAGATGTAATAAAAGAGAAGGAATATGAGGAAAAACTTAGAAAAGCAAGGACAAAAAATAGCTTAGAAAAGCTATTAGAGAAAGAGGGTGAAGCTTAGCAAAGCTATAAGGTGTTTGTAAACTAGTCGCAACTAGTGTTGTAGTTTTATCATATTGGGCAAATTCGTTGTAACGTATTTTGTCTCGTATCAATAATAATTCGAGTGTTATAAATTCTGAGTGGCCATCTACGCTTCCAACATATAGTGTATGAATAAATGTCGAGTCTTGTTGATTCTTTTTTCTCCATGATCATCAACATTTCATGACCCTGCTCGATTCTCCCCACGTAACACAATCCCTTCAACAAGCAATTGTATGTTTGAACAGTTGATTTGCACCCAATTCCACTCATCACTTCAAAAACCTCGAAAAGCATTCCCTAGTGTGCCTCTTTTGCATAATGAATGAATGAGAATTGTAAATGCTGTAACATTTGGATTATACCCATTTTCCATCATGTGGTGTAGAACTCGTTGAGCTTTGTCGACGTCGTTTTTCTTGCAGCAGCATCTGATGATGATGGAAAATGTCGAACAATCCGGTGATAAATCCAGACCAGACAATGATGATACGTTAGAGAAAAGTTCCATGGCTAGATCGGGCTCGTTTGCTGCAAACAACGCCATCAACAGGCCATTGAAATCTGATAAGGTTCAATTGCTCGCATCCTTCTCCATCATGCTGAGAATTTCACTCGTGTCTTTGAAGGGTATTGCTTTGATTTTTTCCAGGAAATTTACAGCTCGAATTCCGGCGGTTCCCTCGTCTAGATGCAAGGCCGACGATGCTACAACGCTTGGAGTTTTGGAAGGCGCGAAAACCATGGCAAGAACATGAAGCTTGCGACGATGGATTCTTTTGGGATTGCTGAAAATGGAAAGGATTATGAAACAGAGGAGATTGGATTTTAAATGAACAAGACATGTCGGGGTATAATTTGCAGAGAATGCGAGGGAGATATTGAAGATAAAATCAGTTGAGTGGCAGTCAACAGGTAACTTAAAATGGTACTTCTTAAAAGGTCTAATTTTTCCTCCGGTCCCTTTATTTTACATTTTTTTAAAATTTGATTCGCTAGGGTACTGTCGTTAAAGGGTCTAGTAAAAAATTATTGATATCCAATCTATTATTCAACTAATTCAAATTGGGTATTACAGAGGCAACGACTATCCTCCCAACCTAATTTGCTCAATTTACAATGTTGAGATTCGAACTATTGATATTGCTTAAAGAATCTAGTATCTCATTCTACTATAACAATCATTTGTTGGGTTTTTCCATATTGTTTTTATTAATTTAGGGTAAATACAATATAATATATGTTCAAAGATAACTCTCAATATTTCGACATTAAACGCTCACAGCCCTAAAATCTATAATACTCAAACCCAAATCATAGACCTGAAACTCAAGAGTCTCCACCCAATCCTCACCTAACCTAAATTTCAACATAAATTAAAAATATAATTCGATGTAACAAAAAGAAAATCTAACTTACCAAAAAATTTAATAAAAACATGTAAATCTTATATAATTATATTATAAAATAAGAAAATTATATTGTAATAAATTTATATAGATCGAATTTTCAAAAATGATATTCTCGTTTTTTTAAAAAAAAACTATTTTTTACTTTTTCTTAGGCTGTTAACTTTTTTGGATAAACTGCATATTAGTATTTAAATTATCATTTTTATTTTGTTTTTATACTTAAATTTTATTTTTTAAAATCATACTTAACATTTAGTTTATGTTTCATTTTAGTATCCGTCATTAAAGATTTAATAGTGATATTGACATTTCATTATAAGATAATTTCATTACATCAACAGTTATGTTAATTTTTTAACTACTAAACTAAATATTAGACATGGTTTTGAAGAAAAACTAAAATTTGGATACTAAAAAGGAACAAAAGTGATAGTTCAGGGACTAAATATATAGTTTACCTTTTGTTTTTATGATGTGTTTATTCAAGGTAGCTCCTCGCGGGAATCTCATCTCCGCCGGCTAAAATACTTTCTTTTTTTGGCCAATTTCCAGATCTTAATCTTCGAAACAAACAAAAGGAAAAGAAAATTTATTATTATTGCTGTTGTTTTGTAGGGTGATGGATAGAAATGCGATTACGGCATCGATTTTATTATTTTTAATGATCTCCGATGTAGCTTCTTCGTCGTTTTGGAAGCTTCGGTACTTAGCTGATGAATCTCCATCAGAGAACGACACCATTGCTGCTGCTGCAAGTACGCCTGTAAATGTCTCTTTCATTCTTCCAACCTATCTGTCTCTATCATTTGTTATTTTATTCACTGGTTTCGTTATTTTTTTATTCGTCTTAAGAATAACCAAAAAGAATATTCATTGTTGGGATTTCAGAGCTCTTTGTTGCCGATTCCTTTAAAGGGTCCGGGCGACAAGAAATTGGATCTAAAACGGGATAATTCGACGAAATCAGATCCGAAATCGTCCAAAAGAATGGATTCCATGACATCACTTCCAGTTGACAAGAAAGATATGAAACCACTGGGTAAACCGGCGAAGGTGAATTCATCTACTCAAAAGGAAATAGCTAGTGGAAACAATTCAATTTTAACTTTAACTTCAACTCCGAAGGGTGATAAAACAATAGAGGAAAATGAGGGGAAGAAAAAGAACGTAGATAGTGGAAAGAATTCAAATAGTACGAACACTCAGAAGGGAAGTTATACAAAGGAGGATAAGGAAATAAAAAAGAAGAAGAAGAAGCCGACGATGAAAAATGCAGATGAAAATAATTCCAATTCAGTGATTGCTAAACCATGTGACGGCATAGTTACTAGATGTGAAGACCAAAGCTCATTGACTGCCTGCATTAAGGGTTTTGGAACTGGTAATTAATATTACTCTTTGTTATTATTGTTTGAATTGGTTGTTAGTATGCTTGTGTGGAATTTGAATGAATAAGAAGTGATTCACTGCTTTGATAGAGCTTAAATGAACAGATGTTGGTGATGTTTTGCCATAATGACATGGTTATAGAAGTGAGATTGAGTATGCATTGAATGCCTAGTTGAGTAACCAGGCTTGTTTCATTTTCCAAATGGTTGAAGAAGTAGAGTTATGAACTGTTATTAACAACTGGAAAAAGAAAACTTTTTGGTAAATGTGTTATCCATGGACATATTATTAAATCTGCATATGGCTAGGCCATGCATGCACAAGTTGTTGAATCTGATCCTGAAGTGCTGCTATCACATGTCTCTTAAGTTTGGATTGATCAAGTTTGAACTTTTCTTGTAGTCAATTGGGTGAATGCTTAGTATTAAGTCAACTGCCGGAATATACATAGATTCTCAACTGAAGTAATTATGTCTGTAATACCAATATAATTTCCTGGTATTGTTTTGTTCTTTTTTAAAACCTATAGTCCATCTGTTAAAGTATATTTCCATCCTCCCTCTAACCTGACAATCCATGTATGTTTTTTGTATCCTCTTTTTCATGTTAACTGTGTAAATATGAACACTACAGAATCAGGAAACATTTCATGTTTATTACTCTAATTTTATGTTTATGAGACACATTGTGTTTAATGTCATGTCCAAAATTGTCAGGTCTAACTCCATCTGTGTTTTTCTTTTTTAAAATTTTGACACGTCATGTGACGATGTTCATTATTTTTATGTCATTGTTGGCACAATAAGGAAAATTTATGCTAGCAGTGAAACTTTGGTTCATTCGTGTTACTTAACCTTGTTCCATCCAGATAGTTATAATCAATGAAAGCAATAAAGTGGTAGCCTGGTTGGTGCTTGGCTGACAAATTTGGAATAGTATACTTTGTGGTATCATTTTTACCACATTGAAGGAAATAAGTGTAGGTGCTTAGTTGACAAAATTGGAATGATATCTCGTCTTGTTACTCAGACCCTTCATTTTTCATGAATTACCCATGTCCAACACTTGTGCCCAACACTTGGATAATGGGGTGTGACCTCCAAGGGTCCCCTCTAAATATATAGAAAAACTTAGAAAAATCTAGCCATAACCTTGTCGGATACATACTTGTGTCTGATACTTGCACCCAACTCCGAGTAGTGAGAGAGACTAGTGGTATCCTTTTCACCAGTATTGATGAAGATAATAAGAGCTGCTCCTTATGTAGCATATACCGTATTGTGTGGTTAACCAGCTTGGTACCCGTTCCTTTCTCTTTCCTAATGGTAAGTAATCAGGAATGGTAAACATGTTTATATTTACATGTTGATTGATGGCAATAGATAATCCATATAGTAGCATAGTGATTCTTACATTTCCTGATTGATTAGTTATTAATTTAACTTCCTTTTTCCTTTCCAGGGTCCAAAGAGCTGACTGTTCTGGTCCATAATAGTGGAGAGGAAATTTTGAATGTCAATCTTGATGGCCCTTATGGGGGATCTTTTCCCAAGAGACTTAGAATACCAAAACATGGCTCTCAAAAGGTATCCCCTCCCTCCCTTTTGTACAAAATAGGCTAGATGAGAGCACTTAACAGGACCTTTTTGGGGTTGAATGTTAAACTCTATTGCGCTGTGTTCATTAGGCATGAAGATACAAACTTGGACACTGAAAAATGTTCCAAAAAGTTTTGATGCTTAATACTTGTATCCCTTGCCATGTACAGATCTGTGTCCAGAAGTAATGTGTATTTGCTTGTTTGTTTCAGATTAATATCCCTACAACTGTAGACGAACCCAGTTCGATAGTGTTAACTGCTGGAAATGGAAATTGTATACTTCCTCTGGACCCTAATGTATCCAACACACTCTTTTTCTCAAAGCTCCCATCGTACGACAAGTTGTTGACCCCAGTAAATGGTGCATACTTCTTGATTGTAGCAGTGGCAATACTGGGAGGATCATGGGGTTGTTGCATATACAGGAAGAGGAGGCAGCATGACCACGGTATACCTTACCAAGAGCTAGAAATGGGAATGCCTGAATCCATGGCAGCTACCGTCGTAGAAACAACTGAAGGTTGGGACCAAGTTTGGGATGATGATTGGGATGAAGACAATGCGGTGAGATCACCGTTGGGACGAAATGTAACCACTAGTATATCAGCCAATTGCCGGATTGCTAGGTCTTCAAGCAGAGATGACTGGGACGATTAGCTTTTTTTCCTTTTACCGGAGAAAGTGAATCGCTTGAATCGGAAGAGACGAGAAAAGGGATTTGAGATGATACGAGGAACTGGAAACAATTGATTCAAGCAGTTGACATGTTAAGTTTAACGGTCACCATGTGTGATAGGAAAATCCTCCAAAGGATCCTCAAGTATGTTCTCTGCCTTTTTCACCTTAGGCGATGGTATATATATATCGTTTCATTTGTTCTTAACTTGAACAAGCGTATTATCATTCCCCCCCCCCCACCCCTAATCTTAATATATAGGTCGCTAGATCGGTTGTCTTTTGATGCCGAAATTTTGAGAATTAATTTGTATATTAATTTAAAATAACTTAGTTCTTTTAATTTTTTATTCTATATTGTATATAATCTTTTTGAGTAAATGAATATAGGTTAGTATCTGTTCAAACATTCTCAATCATTTGATATTGAACACTCATTCCCAAATATACGCGGTGTTCGAACTTAAGACCTCAAGAGATATTATTATTTAATTATATATCAACTCAATTAATAACCTATATACATATAAACAATATATAAAATTATTGAACAATGTTTTAGGGTTAATTTAATGACATTTTGATATTTGGTCTTCTCTAACAATTATTTGATGGGATTAATTATAAAGTATGTTTTTTATTATTTAAAATTTTAAATAAAACATAAATTACTGAAATTTGAACGTAAAAACATTATAATTAAGACAACGAGGTGAAATAATTTTTTAATAGTCTAGAGTGACTAAAATGTAGTATATGTTTAGAATTTTTTTAATTATCGGCAACATACAAGCACAACTTCTTGAATCCAGAAGCTCTAAGAAAACGATACTCTCTAACCACTAAGATCCCTGGATAATATCAAATTATCACATCAATGCTTAAACAATCTAGTGATAAAAAACTAATATTGAAAATTTAGTGTTAAAATTGAAGGTTTTTAAAATTGAAGGTCAAGATTGATGTACAGACTAATTAAGTGACTAATGGGACAGTTTACCCAAAATTATTTCTCGTGCATTTCGCCCAATCCTTGGTTACCTTTTTCCTTTTGTTTAATCAAAATGTTTTTGGCTTACTGTGAAAAAAAGTAAAGAAAAATTTTGGTGATACTGGAAAATGTTATCAATCAAAAGCCCTAACCCTAGCTCCGCCGTGGAGCCATTGAAGAGACTGAGCACTTGTGCTTCTGCTTCTGCTTCTCCAGTGACACTCTGTTTGCCGCCTTCCCTACGGCTCAGACCGCCTTCTAACAGAGTCTCTCTCGCCGCTCCCAATGGATTCGCCGTTGGTTTTCGTTCATTCCATTCACGGCTTCACTTCAATCACTCCGTCGTCGCTTTCGCAGCTTCCCACGAGGAATCAGTGAGTTCTGATTCAAATAAAATGATTTCTACTTCCTTTGAACTTACAAATTTTCTTTTTTTTTTTACTTTGTGATTATTGAAAATGGTATTAAGAAAATGTCCCTTTCTTCCTAATTTTATTTGTTTATTTATGGGTTTAGAAGCATTCAGAACTAGAAGTAGAGAAAGAAAAGGATGGAGTGGGGAGCGAAGAAGAATCAAATGAAGCATGGAAGCAAGCTTTAGAGACATTTAAAGAACAAGCTTTGAAGATGCAAAGCGTATCCATGGAAGCTTACGAAATTCACTCCAAGAAAGCTTTGATTACTCTGAAAGAAACTTCTGAGCAGCTCAAGATTCAAGCTGAAAAGGCCAGAAACGATTTGACTGAAATAGTCAAAGAAATGGGCGAAGAAGGCAAAGAGTACCTCTCAACGGCAGCCGAGAATTCCCCTCCTGAGGTCAAAGAAATGGTTGAAACATTCTCTTCCTCCACGGACGACTTCAACGACGTTTCCAAACTTCTCGACTTTCACGTTGGAATACCTTACGGTATGCTACTTGCATTGGAATTTTTCAAATTTATTTTTATATGATTTATGTTCCATTAATTCAACCGTGGAAATATCTTTTGCGTGTTTGCATTTGGCAGGTTTTGTTCTTTCAGTTGGGGGATTCCTTTCTTTCATGGTGACAGGGAGCATTCCTGCCATTAGGTTTGGTATCATTCTAGGTGGAGCTCTTTTGGCGTTAAGTGTATTAAGCTTAAAATCACATCAAAGAGGAGAGTCTTCTCCTATTGCCACCAAAGGGCAAGCAGGTTGCTACGTTTTTCTTAATTCACAAGACATTTTTACATCCTTAAACTATACGCGACTACTATTACTAATGTTGTATTAATGGGATTATGGTGTCTGCAGCGATCTCATCTCTATTATTCTTGAGGGAGTTGATCTTGCTGGTCCGGGTGGGGCTTCTGTCTCTGTGTATATAGCCTTGTTTTTACCTTATTGTCAACCGATAATTCTTTATTGTAGTGTTTACCTTTGTTCTTATTCTTTTGTTTGCAGATATCAAATCTGTGTACCTTTCTGACAACCTTAATCAGGTCCATATAATTCCTTTCATGTTTTAAGATTTTTGTTGCTTGTATTTGGAAATTAAAGGGTGATTCTAACTTCTCTATGGCTAAGGTTGTTTATGTTGATGACGATAAGTTTTCAACCCTTGCTTTTTCTAAAACATTTGCTGCATGTCTTAATGTTTATTAGCACAAAGTCGTGTGAGATATATTAGAGCTTGAGCTTGTGAAGGCACTTTAATTGCAGTAAATAGAAGTTGTCTGACAACTTGATTTCATATGCAGCGGTGCGGTGGTGGCATTTTATATTTTTAAGCTTCTATCAAAGGACAAACCAAGTTTGGAATCTGGGACTGAAAATTGATGAGCTCTTTTGAGGTTAGTTTATTTTGATGAGCGTGTTCTTCACTCTCTGTGTTTTTTCCCTCAAAATGTGTACGTGTACTAATCGTCTATTCCATCCGTGGACATTGCCCTCTGTTATTGTGGGAAATGTTGGTGGTTTGCCTCATTACTTCTATCATAAAAGTTCGAATATGCTGCATATAGAGTTGGATTTGAGTATTGGGGCAACCAATATGTGCCTATTCATAGTTGTTTTTACATGAAAGCGTAGGTCTGTGAGGCATACTCTCCTCTCCATGCATCCAACCACCCTCTGTTTCTATGAATAGATGTTGTGTACTTCCATTTCTGATTCCAGTTTTGAAATATTGGAGTTTTCTTTTACATTTTCTGACGAGTTTTTAATCTTCAACTGTCCCAGGGAAGAAAAACAAGAATAAATACTGCATGATCCTTGGCTTCGAAGGAAGTAGAATCGATAGCCAAGGGAACCAAAGTAGAACCTCTTGATGCTGTCGAAGGATGTCGGATTGCAGCATCTTAAGTTTTCGTGTGACTTAGGTTTGTTTGTTTTGAGTTGTGAATCCAGTAGGATAATCCAAGGATGAATATGAGAGGTAGAGTGTATTGACGATGATGATGATGATTATGATGTTGTTTTCTTCATGCCATATTCTTAGCTTTGAATAATAGTAATTCCCATTTCTTTCCTTTTAATATGGTGTGAAAACTATTCAAGAAAGTATGAAAAGGTGAAAAAAATATTGGTTTCACAACGTTATTGATTGGTGGTAACAGCAAATCCTGCAGCAACCAATCCAATAGTGAGCTTACCTGCAATAGAAGATTGTGGGAAACAGATAATGGATTATAAGAGGTGTCGGTTAAGCAAAAATATTTGTTTAGACCTATATAATATTTTTTTTTGTAAAATAAATTACATGAAATAATCAATATACTCTATAAATACGTTTGTCACATCTATTAATCGCCTACAAGATTCAACACAATGGCTGCGTCAGATTTGTCCTATAGCCAGGACTTCTATTCAGGGGGCGCAGTCTGAATTTATAAATGCTCGGGGGGCTAAAGTGCAATTTTTAAGGGACTACAAGACAAGTTTTCCATGGTGAAATACCAGGAAACTATGCGTAATATTGTGCGTGTGTATTCATGCACTAGAAGCGGCAAAGAAATTGTCAATGACCCTTTTATTTTGAATTCAAAGAGCTGTGTTAAATATATACATTCAAAGGTGCCAAAGAAAGAAAACAGAAGAGGAATGATATGTTATTTTTTGTCATAATAACATCGGAAAACCTTATAAGTATACGAATAAAGATAAACGGATGTAACATTTTATGTTAGGGATGCGAAGTTTTAAAAAAATATGATCGATAAAAGATATAAAAACAATACTTAAAATTATGATTTTTTGGGCAGATGCAGCCTCCCCCATTAGTGTATGGGTTGATTCATATGGATATATGAGTAGCTGTGATAGCGAAAGGGTGGGCTATTGGTTCAATTCTTTCACTTTCAATATCAAACTGGTGTTGTCACTCTCTTGGGATTCTTCCTTTTCCTTTGCATCACCCAACACGCCATGGATGATGCCATTGCCAATGGGATCCTTCTCATACCTTTAAAAAAATAAATGTATCCGACATATTATAGAACGATTATATGTATGAAGATTTACGATATCGAATACATTTATTTTTTTAAAAGAATATATTAATTCAATATGCCATATATCACTCTCATGCTGTTCTTGTATTTGGTTGGGGGGGGGGGCGTAATAGAAAAGCATCATTCTTGTTTGGAATTATAATGATCCAACCTTGTTGTGTCCATATATGCATCTTTCTTAACAAGATGATGTCGAGAAATTATTGCGAAAGAAAACTGCATGCATGTGTGTGTGACTGTTTCTAGTCTTTACCATACAAATCTCACTTTGTCAGGAATATTTAATTGTCGTCCTCAAAGATTTTGTTTTTCCACTAAAAGGAAACTCTCATGATGCTGTCTGGTGATGATGGTTCATCTCCCCCTTGTTTTTCCACTACATATATATTTTCCATCTTCCATTTCACGTTCACTTTTCTTAACGCAATTCACCCAACAGTTCATAGAGTAAAATAGATTAATTTATATATAATAATATTACATTTACCGTTGAGTTAGTTCAAGTGGTAAGTAACTTGATATCATTTAAGCAAGGTCTCGGTTTCAAATCTTTGTATATGCAGAAAATCTTTACAGGAAAACTCATCTACTAAAGTTAAGTGTGTGATGCGAGTCGATCTGAATTGATTAGGACATAATCGGGAGGAAAAAATTCATATAAAATGCATACAAAACTTATTTTATACTAATATTAGAAACTGCATGCATGGGCATATTTATAGTTTTTTATGTTGGAATAAGTATAAGGTAAGTCAGTATCTGTTTAAAAATAATTTTTAACAT